GGGTCTCAGTACATTTGCCACATTCGTTCTCCAGGGCTTCCCTGATATGTTCTGTGGGAAATAAAAACCATAATAAAACTCGGTTTAAAGTAGAAAATTTGTAACTTAGGCGAAAGTCATAATCAAAACATTTATGACTCAATTTCTATTACAACTAGGTCGGAACTTCATTAACACACTACGTACCCTTGAGCTCCTTGGCGTCAGGGGCGCACTTGCCCTGGTCGAGGATGCACTTGACGTAGGGCACCAACAGGCGGCGGTTGGAGAGGATCTCGTCCAGGTCCACGTTGTCGTAGCGGTCGGTGTAGTGGGAGTCGTCGGGCCGGGCCACTACTAGAGCCGCCACCGACAACACGCAGAGGACGATCATGGACTTCATGTTGATACTGAAGAAGAACAAAAGTTACACAATTAACGGCAAATCCAAAAGCTACTTAATATAAGCTACACTACTTAATGCAGTATGCAATAATTATGAATGGCGTCAAAACACGAGGTAGTTGAGGGACCCAGGGTCAAGGCGACACAAACAACTACATAAATAAAAATAAACAAAACAATACCAGTTGTATGTTAAAATCACGGATTAAAATACACGTGTCATTTTACCTATTTAAAAAAATGCAGCAACTTTTTGAATTTTATTTATTTTTTTATAATAATTATATTATCTATACCAACATATTTTATCAATTAATTTTTTTTTTTATTTACTATCGCACAGATTAAAATTACCTGTTTGTGAGAGAGGTTTGTACGGTGATGAGATTGAGTGCGGTCTACGGTTTGCTGCGATTCTGCGTGCACTTATATACCATTAATGTAGTATCACAAAAACTTCCGACGTACACACTTTGCGTATGACTAAATGTATAATATCATGAATGTTTTCAGGTGAGGTAGTTGACTACCTGATTCATATTTTGATACTTTTTGGTCTTTGTTTGGGTCTAAAATTAATTAAGTACCAGGGTTTTTCTAATGTTTTCAGTGTCTCGGTGGAAAGTTTTATTGAAGTGGGGAAGTGACGATGCACGTTAACTGTAAAGAGTTTTTGCCAGTTTATTAATAGCTCAAATGAGTTATGGTTATTTTTTAAGTGATGCTGGAATTTATAGTAAAGTTCCTGATGGAATGATGAATGAATGTGAATTCCTGATGAATGGAGTCCTGCTATATCCAATATCGAAAATATGGAGCTAGTCCATTTTTATTAGACTACTAGGTGATGAATGACGATGGCTATTCGTGTGAGTGCGATCGAAGAAAAAAACAATGAGATACAGGATGAGGATGTGTAAAATATGATAAATATAATTCTTTTCATACAGAAAAAATCATCCTCCAACTGTTTAGAAGAAAAAATAAACTTGAATACCTATATCTTAGTATTCTTCATTTTCTGCTAACCATTATTTGAAAAATGAGTTTGTCAATAAAACACCTCACAGAAAGCCGGCGTGAAACAACCACAGTGTTGTGTTTCGCCGTGTGAGTGAGGTTACCGGAGGCCCAATCCTTCTCCTCCCCCAATCCGTCCTCAATCCCTAAATCTCTAAATTCCTAATCCCTAAAAGGTCGGCAACGCACTCGTAACTCCTCCGGAGCGGGTGTCCATGGGCGGCGCTGATTGCTTACCATCAGGTAATCCGCCTACTCATTTGCCGAACTATTACATAAAAAAAATCTTTAAATGATAATGTGGTCTAAAACTGATATTTTATAATACCAAAAGAGAATAAGTGCAGTTTGAATGGAACATAAGTGTAAATTGAAATTTACAATTATTTTCCACGTGCAAAATTGCTTTGACTGTCAGCCTTTTAATTAGTATTTATCCTTACTTCAACTCACCTCAGTAACCCGATTTTTGTGATGAAAGGAGGTCAAGAAGACCTATTTCGATCACTGAATCATATTCTAAGAATAAATTTCTTTGTTTTTATCCTAACAAATTTTCCTTATTTTATGTCAGCAGGAATAGGAAATCTTGCAATTTGCATTCATTAGATGAACATTGATACCCGCAGTGTTAGGTGAGGATATTAAGATTTTATGACTCTGAGTCATAGTATTGTTTTTGTTTTGATCTGGAAGTGTTTTTGGGGATAAAATCAATCTTGCCAATAAGCCGGGGTTGCAGGTTAAAATCAATAATGTGCCGCTAACCCAGCCAGGAGCAGGAGAAGTTTTTAGTCAGTAAGAGTCTGTTTCGCCCTCTCGCCGCTCCCAGGGCGCGAGAAGCCGTGTAATTTTGCACCGGAACTAAAATGATTATATGATGGAACTTATGAAACACATCATTGACGATAGTAAGTGTATCATTGAATTTGTTTACCGATCCCCTAGTGATAAGCTGAATAAAAAAACACAACTTCAAGGTTTTTTTTTAATCAGCCAGCCTCATTTTAGTGTCCCCTCTGAGTAAGAAGATAAAACGTAAACACTTTTATTCAGTCTAGAAGTCTAAATAAAAAAAACAAATTTAAATATTTTGTCTGTTGATTATAAAAATCTACGTGCATTTCCGTGTTAAACAAATAGTTTTCGCAGAACAGCCACAAAGCACAACAATAACGAGGAACATATGAATATACGAAAACATTCAAAAAAAAATTCGTAACTTCACACCGGCTATTATTTTATCTATCTTTACTAATTTACCATTCATCTTTTTCAAATTCAACAGATTCTCTACTGTGTATAACATTTTACAGATAATACAAAATTAAGTTCTGTTCGACAAGAACCCCATGAAGAAACCCATGTCGTAATACCTCACTACCATGTACTTACTTACTTATTAATCTAGCATCTACACCAGCCATGAAGTCTTCATTCAATTACATATTAAAGGCATAAACCGGCCAGTATTTAGATGACGTTATTACAAACGATCTACGTCAATATTGTAAGTGCAGTCAACTTTTAATGTTACATATCAAACACCTGATATCTTGTATCTAACCTGTCTAAGGCTTAGGCCGCATTGTGGTTTTTCCCGAGACTGATTACCACTTTAAATGCGAAACTACTCAAGCCGCATGCACCATGGTTTATTTATAAACTAGCCCCTGCGTGCTTCGCATGGGTATCCAACCTGTTAAATTTCCCGATTTCCACCTGTAGTTTTCTAAAATTATCTTTCATCAGAACCTTCTCTCAATAATAACAAACTAAACAAAAAAGAATTGGCAAAATGGGCCTAGACGTTTTTGAGTTATGCGCTTACCAATATATTTTGCGATTCATTTTTATATATTTATTATAACTAGCTTTTGCCGCCCGCGAGTGCGTCCGCGTGAAGTAGTGACTTCCTGCAGATTTTTGGAATAAAAACTATCCTAAGTCCTTTCTCAAATTCCAAACTATGTCAGTACCAAAATTAGTTTAGGCGTGAAGAAAAGGCAGACGGACAGAGTTACTTTCGCATTTTAGTATTAGTTTGAATGAATATCTAATACTCTCATGCTATGATGACACTGGCACCCTAAACAGAAATTAAATTGGATTCAAGGATTGGGTAGGGATGGGGGAAAGATAAAGATTGGGCCTCCGGTAACCTCACTCACACAGCGAAACACAACGTTGTGGTGGTTTCATGCCGGTTTTCTGTGAGGCCGTTGGTATCAGTCCGATCGAACTGGCCCATTCGTGCCGAAGCATGGTTCTCCCATACTTTATTAATCAAAAACACTATTATACAGTGAAGGTAAACATCGTGAGGGAACCTGGACTTTGTGTTTGAAATCGCCAACCCGCATTGAGCAAGCGTGGTGATTAATGCTCTAACCTTCTCCGCATGAGAAGAGGCCTTTGCTCAGCAGTGGGCAAAGGCCTCTTCTTAGACTGATGATGATGATGATGACGTGTTGCTAAAATTCAGGCACCTTTAAATGTAGTTAACACATATACGTAGAAAAGGAATTATGTTTCTTTTTTATTATAAATTTTTGACCACAGTCAATTTTGTAATATTTCACAGGAAAAAGCACCACCAGCGACCTTTGTATAATTTTTTTTTTCTTTAACACCCATTCAACCGTAGTGTAGCTTGATCCTTAGACGTCAGAGTTATTTATGATGTATCGTTTCTAAGTAAAAATTATACCAATGTCGATGTGGGATGGAAGATTTTAATTTATAAGTTAATATTATTATGTAGGCAACATTGAACAGCAGCCTATTACAAGAATTTAATCGTGTCAACTGCCTAGTTAATGTTGTAAACAAAATTAGTGATTTTAAGTAGACCCAACCCATGTTACTCAATGTTTAATGTAACTACATTTCCTTACATAATATATATATTTTTTTTTATTTCGGAGTAAGCAGACAGACCCGCCCAGAACCAGAGCCAAGCGTACCGCGGCGTGTCATGTTGGCCGCGCGTCTCAAAAAAACAATAGACCTCTACAGATGGGGCCCATTAAAGCCGGCTTGCAGGTGCAATTAATCGCAATGATATACCACAGCCCCCGCCTAAAACAAGAGACAGAACGGGGTTGTTTTTAGTAATACCATACATCTGGAACCATCGCTCGGTAAACATACCGAGTTTGAACTCATTAGATAATTATGTGACTTTGATTAAAAGCCAGTTTCTAGATTTTCACTGACACATTAGTCACAGATAGGGGATCCCCTAGTTTAGGGAGGACGGTTTTTAACTATTCAAGCGCCCTTTTTCTATAAAATATCTGGATAACACATAGTCAGTGTCAATAACGTAAATATGAAGATATTTTGTGTGAGTAAAATATTTGTATTAAGTAATTTAGTAGTCATTGTATAGTTTTTCATGGTTGTAAATTTATTGGAGCCTGGTCTGTATTCTGTAATGGTCGTGTTGTTGCTAGCATCATCACATTGTCATCATCAAGATGATGATGATGATCGATAATGTGTAAGTGACATGGGTTGATTGTTTAAAGAAAATAAAAATTCTGATATGAATAAATATAATAATTTCCAGATACTTAGCGTAGTAAGAATCTGGAAACTTTTTTATTTTCAAACTAAATCTAAAATCATATCACAATTCATAGTCGACTTGGTAATAACACAATTGAGCAATATTATAAAACTTAAGCCTTGATCTTCTTGAGTTCCTTCTCGTACTTGGTGGTGTACTTCCTCTCAGGGTCGTACTTGGCCGTGAGCTCGTTCCAGTATTCCTCCTCGTTGTTGATCAGGTACTCGATCACACGGCGGGTTCCCTTCTTCTGGGTCTCAGTACATTTGCCACACTCGTTCTCCAGGGCTTCCCTGATGTGTTCTGTGGAAAGAAAAAATATATAAGAAAAAGAATTTATAACTTGCCTATGAATTTAACTGCGCGTTTTAGACAAATACCTGTCTTAAACTGTTTTTTTAGGAAATATTTGGGAATTTAAGGGAATAAACATTTTTATGTTAACCAATTTTGGCTCTAAAGTCTTCTAATAAATCCAATAAACTTAACCCAATAACAATTTGGAAAATAAGTCCTTCCAAATTAATTATAAATGTAGGCAAAGGTATTGTCTTAGGCAAATGAATTGCAAATGCGCACTGGCTATGCAAATACAATAACAAACAATAGGAAACTCATGGTAACCTGGTGATTATTTGAATTTATGGAGTAATTAAATCACAAGTTTGCATTGTAAATAAAGAACTAGTCATGTTTAGGTGACTGAATATTCATAACTAACACAGACAACAGACAATCTTAATAGAAAACAAATGATTCTGATAAGGTCGAAAAACCTTGTCTTCGTCACAATTAAAAAAAAAAACTTTGCCCCCTACTTGGATTTTCTCCTGTGTCGTGGGTGCGTTTACAAACATAAAATTTAACATGCACATCACACCCAGACCAGGAACAACAATATGTGGATCACAAAGAGTTGGTCCGTGAGGGAATCAAACCCGCGACACGTTGCGCGGCAGCCAGTTGCCCAGCCACCGCGCCAACCGTGCAGTCAAATTGAATCAAAGTTATCAAAAAATGATTTCCAAAACATTTCGATTCATAAATCTACCGCTAAGACTGCAACTATTTCATACGTCACAGTATCTTGTTTGGCTCGTACTTACCCTTGAGCTCCTTGGCGTCAGGGGCGCACTTGCCCTGGTCGAGGATGCACTTGATGTAGGGCACCAGCAGGCGGCGGTTGGAGAGGATCTCGTCCAGGTCCACGTTGTCGTAGCGGTCGGTGTAGTGGGAGTCGTCGGGCCGGGCCACTACTAGAGCCGCCACCGACAACACGCAGAGGACGATCATGGACTTCATGTTGATACTGAAGGAGAAGAATAAAATAAAAATATAACTTCATTCTTGAAACCCCAAGGGAACACCGGCGTTTGCGGTCTTACTACCTATTGTGTCTAGAATAACAATGTCACGATAACAAAAGTAAACAAAAACAAAATTAACGATGGTAAAAAGGAAACATTTTTCCATACGTTTTCTAAAACAAAAATCACATAGTAAAATTATTTTGAACGTGTATTTAATATTAACATTTATTTAAATTGAATTAAAAAAATGAATTTTATATAATTTTTTATTTGAATGTTAACTCACTATTTAAATTACCTGTTTGTGAGAGAGGTTTGTACGGTGATGAGATTGAGTGCGGTCTACGGTTTGCTGCGATTCTGCGTGCACTTATATACCATTAATGTAGTATCACAAAAACTTCCGACGTACACACTTTGCGTATGACTAAATATATTAATATCATGAGTGTTTTCACTTGAGGTGACTGACTATGTAATTGATATTAAATAATATTTGGTTGGTGTTGTTTTTTGCCCTCGTTCAGAGGTTGGAACTTCTTGCTTATTCTCCGATGATTTGAACGAAATTGTATTCTCTTTATGAAAGACTTTTAACGATAATAAATTTAATCATTTTGAAAATAATAAAATTTATTTTAATATAAAATAGAAAGTGTAATTAGTATTTAAAAATATGTTCTACCTTTTCTTCCCTTTATTTGTTTGAACATACTGTTTCGATAATTCAAATTCGAAAAGAAAACTTAAATGTGGAACTTTGTAAAACAGAGTTATTAAAAAAATAAGTGGAAAAATAATCATTCCCACATAAATACGAATGTGAGGTCTACTCATAACCTGTACAGAACCTATTATTTGTTCTAGTTTCCAGGAAAGGAGACTAACCTCTAAGTTTGTTTTGGCATTTCTTCTTAGAGTAGCCAGATAAGAAATCCCGTCTTCATCTAGGTTTTTTTATGTAATTTTGACGCGTAAAATATTCGTTTATGGCCTATTTTAAAAAGGGGCCGGAAGCAGTGTCAGACTTTTACTGACTAAAAACTCCCCTGTTCCTTCTCCTGCTCTGGAGAAGCCGCGGTGCCACGTTGCACTTGCTCCGCAACCCCGGCTACATGCTAACTTAATGATAATTTATTTGGGCGCATAAATCATTCATAACATAATCTACAGAAGTGAACTTTAAACAGAACTTTTTTTTAAATTCGGATGCAAGGAGGTCGCGTCTTTTGTCTTGATGACGTTACTAAAGTTCAGTTCAATTTGCGCGGGAATAACAGTAACTGGCATAATCTTCACTCGCTAATTAATTAAGGGCTGATTTTTCAATAATAGAATAATAGAGTGGTTGCACTTGGTATTAAGATTTATAAAATTTAATAGCATTTAGTCATTATAATCCTTATCCTATCACCAAAGCCCAAAATGATCTTATTCCAACCCCCAAGGATCGGCAACGCACTGGCAATTTCTCTGGTTTTGCAAGTCCGGGTGAAAATACAACGTATACCAACAGTATGGGTGATGGATACTTTTCCAATCACTGAAATTTTGTAATAAAAATATTGAATAGATGGTGACTCCTGTACTTTATATCTTCTATGAATTAAATCTTATTTATCTTAATTGACTTGGATTAATTGGTGGTGAGACTATTGCCAGGCACAGTTCGAATATCCGTGCTACTACTGAAAAATGAACAAAAAGCCATAGAAACTGAATATTACTTACTTTGATACTTTACTGTATTACGAGATTTATCGCGCACGTACCTTTTATTTGTTTTTTGCTCGACGTGTATAATTACTAAATTTGACTCGTAAACTAAAACCGAGACTTTTTTTTGGTCAAGTCAGGGTCTTTGATCAGGGTAGATCCTGGCTAACACAGTACATACAACCATGCAAATACCGAAACACTGAAGTTCAGCTCGTCGATTCTGTAAAATTTGTTTGATTTCGAATCTTGTTCGATTGTGAAGTGAGCGTCGAAGTGACGGAGGAATTACATTATAAAATGACACTTTTAACGTCATCTCATACTTTATCTATCAAAATGTTGCTGTCAATTTAGTTCAACTCGCAAGTGTAGCGCTAGTGTACTACTACTCACAGCGGATTCAGATTCGAAGTTTAGAATGAAGTCTTACAGAATAACACCCAAGGGCATCCAAGACACATGAATGAACTGTCTTGGATCCTGCATCGAAATAAATCATAATATTTTGAGGTGAAGAGAAAAAAAACTAAATAGTTGGCTTTTGATTTATACAAATACTTTTATATTTTTTCTTCCATCGTTTCGCTAAATGTCATTTGAGCATGTTTACCTACAAGTAATAATTTAAAATGCACTATAAAAAAAAACAATATCCTACTCTAACTGTCATACTGTTGACACATAGTTATTTATTCAAGGTGGATTAGTAATCACATTATGGTTTATATTCCTGATTTCCTTCAAAAGTTTTCCTTTACCCATATAATTATCAGGGGCGAAAAAAAACATTACTATACGGCCGAATTGAGAAACCCATTCATTTGCTTAAATCGGTTCAAAAGCGCCTTACATTATATAATTGTCGTGTATCAGAACCCATACTGAATTTTAAAAACAGAACCATCGCATAAAGTTCTGTATCCACAAAAGTTCAGAATATATTCAAAGATTAAAAGTAAAGCAAATTCGACCATCACAATATTGTCGATGCTACCAGCAGTAGATAGCAATAGATACAATGCAGTAGAACAATAATTTGCTTACGATTTTCAAAAACTTTAAACATTTAACAAATAAAGAGTTGTTCTAATAGAAGATTAATATACCTAATGCATTTTTTTTAGAAAAACATGTAAGTAATACTGGTCTTACGCTAAACTATACGAGTGATAAAACATTTGAATGTTAATTAAAAAGAATCAAGAATGGCGATAAATCTTGATCATTCTGATTGTGTTAATAAATTCGTCTATCGTGTAATGTTAATAAATTAGCTTTGGTACTATTACCTACTTGTAAAATCCCGATTGACGTAAGGTATTTTTTTTGTGAGGGGAAAATGTCTTCTCCCGCCCAGGGTTGGGCGGGGGGAAGAGTCAGACTCTTACTGTCTTAAAGTTCCTTCTCCTGCTCTGGGCCAAGGTCGCACTGCCTCATTGCGCTTACCCCGCAACCCCGCCTGAGCATTAGCCCTATAGGGCCCCGTCTGTGGGACGTAAGGTTTAACGGTAGATATATTGGATTATAAAAATCACAACATGTAAGACCGCTCCTAACTGGCCCATATAAAACTAATTCAGGAGGTCTGACAATACTTATCCATTAAAACTTAAACATTGGAAAAAAATCATGCAAAAAACACCTAATTACATCATTTTCTTAAACACGCAATAATAGTACATATTGACATATAAACATACAAAATGGCATCGTAAATATTTCTATTATTGGTTGATTTATAAAAAGAACTTTTTCGTGTCAGTTACATGACGTAACTTAAATAATTCCTTTTTTTGTAATGTGCCTGCAGAGTATTCTACAAGAAAACAGTTAAGTTAAAAGTAGCATCACCATCATCAGTCTATTAGTGGCAGCTGCCGAGCAAAGAACTCTTCTCATATAGAGAAGTTTTAAGCATGAATTACCACAATTGTTCAAGGCGGATTGGTGATTTCAAAATTAAAAAATAAATGTTGAGCATATAATTCAAAATATTATATCTATTGCTACATATATTAGCAATATATTATTATAAATACCTACAAGCTACATGACATTAAATATATCTAAGACTTATCGAATACAGCTAACAAATAAAAAAAGAATAAGATAAAAAGTTAAATGTTAATTACTTAATTAACACTTCATAAATTTTGGTAATTAAACAACAAATGCTATCAGGATAAAACTCTGAATTCTTAACTAAACAAAAATAATAATCGTCAAATAGAACAAAATGAGTCTGTGGTTTCTTAAATTAATTTGTTGATGTCAAATAATTAAACTACCTCATACATACATACATCAATGATAAATATTTTTGGAACTGAACTATAATTCGTATTAACACAATACCAAGTAGTTTTCTAGAATATAATTATAAGACTTTATCTTCCAAGGAGGTTTTTTTTTAAATAAGCCCTGGATGAAGCGAGAGGGAGTGTAAGACTCACACTGGCTAAAAACCTCCCCGTTCCTTCTCCTCCTTCGGGTTGGGAGCCACGGTACATTATTTACTTGATAAACATTGACCCTCGACTGAACATTGGCCCTATTGAGCTCCGTTTGTAGTGGTCTGTTGTCTTTTTCAGGCACGCGCGGCTAATGCTTAAGATCAGTATTGGTTGAAAAGTGTACTTCACAAAAAAGCGAAAACTTTAGTGCAAAATCATGTTAATATAATTCTCCTAGAGAAGACTCATATTTATACAGAGTACACTAAACAACAATAAGTAATATTTTTATAATATTTAAAAGTTTTTATATTCTGAGTTAAACACGTAGAAAGTAGATTGGGTAGCTTATATTTACATATACCACGGTTTATGAATGATGAATACTGGGTATCTTGTACATCAATTATAACTACTCGATCTTATACTTAATTACGTTAAATCACGACAACTCCTTGATTCTGATATGGATCACGCAATCACAATTACTCTCGTCGACATCATAATAAAAGTGCCTCTATCACGGTAAGTATCTGTGTATTGATATTACAATTATGCGAAAGTATCTAAATGTAGTGAATGTTTAATTGTTACTCTTTTATGTATACTTTTACTACTCGTATCTGAATTAATTTTGTCATAGTAATAGATTATAGTCTAGAATGAAACCGTTTACTTGACACTATGGGCCATTTTTAATAAATCATATAAAAAGCTAAAAATTATTGATCCTTAATCCCGTTTCTGTTTTACGGTTTCATCGAAAGTAAAATGTTGACTAGATGTACTTACAAAAGTTAAATGATTAGGAAAACTTATAACATAATTAAATTACACTGCAAAGTCACAGCACAGCTAGATACAAATCGGCCCGTTTCAATGCATGCACGCAAAAATGCTAAGATATTGAGAAAGTTTGATTAAGACTATTAGAATAAGACTATTAAGAAAAAAATATTAGTGGAAAATAGATTATAATTGATAAGGGTTTTTTATTTTTAAGTTTTTTGTAAGCTTACAGAGCTGTCAAATACCTATTCAAATTAGAAGCTTTATTAACACCGTGTTCATTTTCGATACCTAGGTAATACCTGAACTAAAAATGTTCAATTTCGTAATATAATTTATCATTATTTTTTTTTTTTAGAAAGAAGTTCTCTCTTCGTTCTTTTGGTAAGAAGCTCAACTCCTATGCGACTGCTACCTTGTACTTAGATAAGAAATAGAGTCATCTGTTGAATTTTGAAAACATAATCTACTGCAATTTGTATTATCGATAGATTTTCCCAGATAGCCGATATGTGTGGCGGGTTGAACAAAGTTCAAGTTTATGTGATCCGCGAATAATTTGCGTGAACGAAAATTATTGTTGTTCCCAGTCTGGGTAATGAGTTGTATGTTTGGAAACGCAACCACGACATAGGAGAAAATCCTAGTACGGACAATGTTGTTATACTAAAAACAAACAAAAAATAAACATATAATAGAAGTTACCCTTGTTGAAAAAACGCTAAAAGGGCACTCAAATGACCGTAAACACCACCTTGACTCAACACTTATCTAGATCACAAAACAATATTAGTCTATTAGCAATTCTAAATAAATATTGCTTCCACGTTTATGAATACTTGGAAGTACGGAATAGAGATGTTTAATTAGTAATACTGTTCTGTAGGTACTCTTAAACGATTCCTTGGAAGTACGGTTCAACGTGGAAATCTTTATTGACTATTTACATCTCACATCAATGTGTATGACGTTAGTCACAAAGTTTATTTTATAACAATAATAGAGTTTATATGCGAAATCATGAATCATTACGTTTACCATAATAGTTATGGGTATGGTATGGAGATATTCGCTAAAAAATATTAAATAGTCTAATAATTGTAGCAGTTCCTTTTTGGTGGGGTAAACTTGTAGTGGTATTTATTTTCTTAGCATGTAGTGTAGAGTGCAACGTGCTTTAGCAGCTTCAAAGAGCCAATATACCATTCTTAATGGGGCCAAATATTATGGGTAATGCTTAGCCGGGGTCGCGGGTCAAGCGCAATTGGGTACCGCGGCCTAAACCTAGAGCAGGAGAAGGAAGGGGGCTCTCGCCTGACCCTGGGCGAGAAAATTGACGAGACTCATTCTACAAAAAATAAGAAGGACCCTCTTGAGCTAGCTAGCTCTTGATGGCTAAGTACTTTGTTGTAGACTGAGCTCAGTGGTTCGCTATTAAAAGAGGTATTTATTAATATTCAGTAGTACACAACAACAGGCTGATGATAATAATCATTTAAGAGATTTTAGGTATGGAGATAGTAAGAAAGTTAGAGGTTAAGATAAACAAAATTTTCGTGTGATCAATAAAAATGCAAGCATTCGATTAATTACACATAATTTATTAATTGCACTTATACTAGAGTTTATTAAATGTAATTCACAAGCCTTAATATTCAGATATAAGAACTTTGATTTATGTTTGATACGAATAAAACAGTGTATTCTTTAACGTATCAAAACATAAAACTCAAGTATTTATGGTAGTTTGTCAAAGTTTTATACGTCGATATCACTGTCAATTATCAAAAGAGGTTTTATACATTTTGGAATGTTGATATGAATAAGCTAAGTGCGTTATCAGTCCTAATAGGATTTGTTCTAATTTTATCACTTAATCGAAAAAAGTTAACTAACTACTTTTAATCCTTAAATACTAAAAAATAATTTATTGCTTCAGTTTTCTGAGTTCCAGTTCGTATTTGACAGTGTATTTGGACTGAGGGTCGTATTTGGCCTTAAGACGGTTCCAGGATTCCTCTTCATTGTTGATGAGGTGGCCCAATACTCTACGAGTTCCGTTGCGCTGGGCGTCGGTACATTTAGCACAGTTCTGTTCCAAGGCCTCTCTGATGTGAGCTGAAAATGAAATATAGAGATTTATTAAATGCTATTTTAAAATAGGAACTCATATTTTTATTGAGCCAAAACAACGTGATAGGTTCACTATTTATCACTTAATTCCTTTTAAAAATTAAATATAAAACATTCGGTTGATACATTTTATAAAAAATACAAAGCTAAGAATCCAGTTTAAAGTACCTACATTTCTTTTAAATGAATTTTAACCAGTTTGTACCTTTTCCTATATAATTAATTTACATTATTTTAAGCGATTTAATAATAAATATTGTGATAAACAGATCAATAAACTGGTTGTTTAAAAATGTAACTAAGATATTTAAAGAAACATACATAAACATGTAGATATATTTTTATAATATTATTTAAATAATAAGGTCTCAAATCTTTTCTATATGGGCTGGCCCTATGAAAAAGTCAGTTCCATCCAAACTTTAAGTTAAGTAAATATACAAAACTTACATTTCAGTTCCTTGCCGTCAGGAGTGCACTTGCCCTCTTCGAGGATGCACTTGATGTAAGGAGTCAGGAGACGACGGTTTCCAAGGATCTCATCCAAGTTGATATTGTCGTATCTGTCGGTGTAGGTGCTCCCGTCTGGCCTGGCTATGGCCACCGCAGCCAGACCGAATAAGCACAAAACAATGAAGGACTTCATTCTGCAAAAAAAATATTGATTTTAAAATATAATGTGCATTATTTTCCTATTAAATTCCAGCCCCAAATTCCCGCCGTCAAACTGTCTAAACAGTTTGGTGGGTTTATATTGTATAATTTTTTTTGTTAACACCAATAAATGATTTAATTATTAAAAAAATAAAAAAAAAAATGTTATGAAAGTAGAAACGGGGTTCCGGGAAAATATTTATAACTTAACTTTAAAATAAAACTTAAATTACCTAATTCAGAAAATGATATTGAATTAAATATTTTTTTGTTTTAAAGATTTAATTGATTTTTACCCGACTACGGCAAAGCAAAAGGAGGGTTATTGTTTACTTGGGTCTATCTAGAGAGTGTCAATTATGAAATAGAGACTGAGCCATGAGCTATGAAATAATATAAGGAAAATGGTATCCAATCACGCGATATTATCTGTAATATTTCAGTTAGATAATGTCATTGATATTTTTAACATCCAACTTTTCAACGTTGCAAAATTCTTAGCAGTATTTAAAACTGCATAGATGGAGCCGATCAGAAGACGCGAGTATTAACAATTTAGCTATAAATCCTACTAGACTTTCAAACAAGAAAGTTTTCAAGTATAGTTTGGTTGGAAGGATGGATTATTGAAACTTTATCCCATGAACACTACAAAAGATCTGTTTAAAAATAGACAGAGAGATATATAAAAGTCTGGAATTATACACAGACTTACTTTTCATACAATTTGGTTATGGGCGAAGCCATTGGTACAAACTAGTTTTTACTATATATGTATGTATTTCGATAAATGTACATGTAAAACAATATACCTGGAGAAATATTGCATAGAACAGTAAAATAAAAACAGTATCAATTTCATAATATTTTGTTTTATAGATAGACCTGTTTTATAGAAATATAATAATAATAATATAACCAGTGAGGAAGCCGGTGCTCTCAGTTGGCTTGTCTTCATTATTCATGTACACCTTGACCGCTTAAATGACAATGACCCGCCCGCAAATGGTAATCTTATCCTTGCCGCACAAAATCATATTTAAAGGTAAACGGAAAATCTTAGAAAACAATTCTAAAATAATATTGCAAAAACATATTTATATAAACAAAAATGGATCTCTAAAATGTTTGTATGCACGAATCTCTAGAATGGCTGCACCAAAAAGAACAATTATTGATGTTTGATGATAAATTGAATATTTTCATACAAAAATACAAATTCACTTCGAAAGTCAAGGAATATCTAAGTTAAGCCACTGATATAAATAGTTATCCTATTGATATAAATAAAAATATAAATGATTAATTACTGAAATATTGAGATGCACATTAGCACCCCTAAATTAAAAACAAATATAGACAAATGTGTAATACATAAACATATACTACTACTTATGCTATGAGTTAAATATAAGTAACAACTGATATCTGACAAATCTATTCCACAAAAACAAAAAAAAACTGATGTTTTTGCGAAAGCCTATAGCCATATCATCCCTCGGGGCCCTCCAAATAAAATCCTATTTAAATTAATAAAATACTACTTTTTGATTCAAAAGACAACAACTTATGTCCTATGGACGATGTTTAATAAAGTGACCTACCTTTGATCGCGTTTTCCTGTGGAGTACTGCCCAACAGCTCTGCAGAGGGTTTAATACTTCACCGTCCACTCTTCCACTACTTTTTATACTGAATACATGGCGTTTTGGTTGAACAACGAAACTAGTTTTGGTCATTTAATTCGAGGAATATATTCCGTCATTTCGTCACACTATCAATAAACATCGGAAAACGTGCGAACGTTTTTTTAGGCGTCCGTTTTAAAAACATAAATATTATATAGTACATAAACAATTTTAATAACACCTCTTTCGGATTAAGAAAAAATATAACGATTCCTTAGGGCGATCTATTCTTTTTTTTTCTTTTTTTACAAGTTAGTCGCGAATTATTTAGTAACTAGTTTAACTTTTTTGGTAGGAATTACTTATTATTTTTATTTAAAACTCCATGCACAACCAAAATTCTACCTTTAAGTGATGCAGAGACAATCTAGTGGTAGATGCAAAAAGCAAGCTAGATTTACGAACCTACCTATTGTAACTATGCTGTTAATTATGTAAATACTAAATTTATAAATATCATTAAAAATAACAGATCAAAAAATATATAAAGTCAGGGAATAATTTGTTCTTCTTTCCTTATTTTGGTTTTGTATGAATATCTTCTGTTTTTTTTATTTATTTAATTACTACAATAAATATGAACGTATTTAGTCCTTAAACTATAGTTTTTGTATAATTGAAACTACTCAATAAAAAATAAGTAAGTTATTCTTTACGCAAATAAATAAAACAAAAGAGGGCGAAATGAGAAAAGTTGCTATTGGCAGGAGACAAAATCTTAAATGCCAAGATAAGCTACAATGGTCAAGATCTATAAAAACATATATCACAGCGATATCAACTATGACAGTTATAATGAAATGGAAATCATTTCCAAAATCTATCAGAAGTGTATGTATGTATTTTTAACAGATTTTATTTATTTTTTAGGGTGATAATATAGCCGTAATTGCACCACAGTTAGTGATGGTAACGATACCAGACTCCAAGCTGAGTAGATACCGGACGGAGACAATTGATTGATTAGTAATTTGAGACTAAGAATCTTAATAATACTTTGCATCATATGATTTAATACGAAGGAAAGTAAGTTCTTCTTTCTTTTTCTTTTTTACTCAAAAATAAAGCTGCCCACAATAGGATTTTCTCCCGCGCCGTGGGTGCGTTTACAAACTTACAATTTTACATACACATCACACTTAGACCCGACGATTTGTGGATCACGTGCAGGGATCCAACCGACGAATCGTAGAGCGCCAGCCTCTTGCCCAGCAACCATGAGGACACGGACCGAAGTCTAGGTATTTCACAAACATATATTTCCATGTATCTAAGAATATTGCAAAGTCAGGATTGAGATAACGTGTCTTTGAGATATATTTGCTCTTATCCTATACTGAGAAACGTGTGAAACCAGTTTCTAATGGATTAGTAAGTGCGAACAAATACTCACATGCTAATAAGCATGACATGTTCCTAAGTGTTTTATCTTTGATTGCAAAACAAGTACAAAGAGCTGTCTAAGATAGCACTGTAGTTATGTGATCGTGACCTGCGGTGAACGTCAGGACAGAATATATTTTTCAGCACACTATCTCTTCAGGGTCATGAGTTCAAGCATAGTAATAATAATACACTGTGACCGAACCGAAGTCATTCTGACCAGGAGAAGCAAAGGGGTGATTTGAAGTCTGTAGGAGTCTGACTCTACCAGGGTTGCATTGTCAAAGAGAGTCATGTTTCAGCATGAATGGGTCAGCTCACCGGAATGATACCACGGCTTCACAGAAAACTGGCGTGAAACTGCAACCACAGCTCAATTCTTCACATATCCATCTCCAATCCCTAAATTGGAGATTTGAACTATGCACCCCAAAAGGTCGTGCGTAGGCCACGTACTTGTAACTCCTCCGTCGTCGTTGCGGATGACCATCAGATAATCCATCAGCTCATCAGCTACCACAAAAAAGTATTTTCATGATTTTCTCTGATATTATGCTGTTGGTGTTCGTCATGGAGAAATTAATTTCTTCCCAGAAGCAGAAGTTGGTAGATTCGATAATTATCCATTCTACGAAAATGGTTTACTTCAAAATCGAAGGAGTACAGAGTGATGCCACGATTTTAAAGAATAACGGCGAAATAACGCTTGCCATGTGCTTTTGCCGTTAGAGTGAGGTTACCAGATCTTTACTTAAAGCCCTCTTCAGATCCTTAACAACTCACAAAAGGCCAGCAATGCACTTGTAACTTCTTTTGCGGGTATCAATGAGCGGTGTCGCTTACTATCGGGTGATTTGTCAGCTCATTTTTATCACTTAGAAAACAAAAATATTTTTGCCTCGATATCGTTAAACAGTCTGCGACATTCCATTGATGGTAAGTCCTGCTATCCTCTACATAAATTACCAACTTTAGGGTTCAGTCTAACCAGACCAGTTTTAAAAAGAAAAAAATAAATAACAAGAGGATTATTATTTAAATAAAAGCAAATGAGCAATGAAGTTCTCTTACTTCGATAATATTAATTAATGAAAACGATTGTTTGGTAACGATTTTCTTCCGAAAATATTTGCTAAGGATTGGGTGAAGTAAGCATTACATGACTCTGAGTGCGGCTAGTATAAGTAGTTAGTATAAAATATTTTATTTTACACCTAAATACAATTACACAGAACAGCTTCTTAAACTGACAACAATGATAGCATTTCACTTAAAAGGCCAATGAACTATTCAGCTGCGTTAAAACCACACACCAACCAACTCAACAACTACGTACACTGCAAAATCTATTTTTATTTCACCGTGGTAGGTTTGTAGATCTAAGATAAATTCATCATATGTAAAATGAGCAGGTTATTGACCATGAGGCTTTCTTTCTGCCAGCATCACTGAGAGCAACTTGGTAATATAAGTACCTACTTGTAAAACTCATTAAAGAAAAAAACTACCCAAGGCAAAAACTTGAACTGGTCTTGTTAGAAGCTCCAATAAATTATAGTATACCAACTCTAAAATTATATCCGACGATCCTGTAATTAATTGAAGGAATCGATAAATCGATTATATAATATTATCTTAACGAGAGATGTTCTTATCCTTGAAAATTTTTCAATCATTTATTTTTTATTACAGTAAAAAAATGTTGAACAAACGCTCGTACACACATCTTACTATAATATTTGAATCTAAGTAAGTATACCTACGTTTTAAAAACACAGAGATTGCTACACAAAGCTATTAAAATTGACCATAAAGATGCAAGCTTTTTTACAACGAGACCTTCAAAACATGAAGATGAGATCTCGAAATGCAACTAATTAAAATTAACATAGCAAAACGGTCCGACCTGTGATCCAGTTTGCTAAATGTCCGAGAACAATGATAAATATGTTCATCTCATCGCGTTTATTAGGTCTAGGTTAGTAGGCGACTATTGTCTCGATATAGTTGCGTAATCAATACAAAATTATAGCTTTACGAATCGCTTCTCTAGGTCGTAAACAAAGATTCCACTGACGTAAGTGACGTCACGTGTTTTGGTCTCAGAAATTAATCTCGACTCGCTAATATTACTACTGAGTATTTATGACGGCAGTTGGATTAACCAGAAACTTTGAAACGTGTTCAGTGTCTGATTAAACACAATACATAACAAGAGTAGCATTTGATATAGGCTGGTGTAAAAGATAACACTATGGAACAGAAAAAAACAAATATCGTCCACACCTTATAGTCCTTATGTACAACAAAATAAATTTTGCGCAGATTTACTTGACAGAATTTTTTTTTCAATACTCAATACTCAATATCTTTATTGCTTTTCCATAAGTACATTAAAGGTGGTAACAATTTGTGTGAGATCAATTATGGACCCTGTAGGGCACAGCAAAATAAGGCAAACAGGAGAGAGGAAGCTCTGTTTCAATATCTTAAAATAGGTTAATTGTATTTTAAAATAACTTAATTCTAATTAAAGTAACTTAATTCTATTTAAAATAACTTAATTCTATTTAAAGTATTATTTATATCACACTAGCTACTCTCACGCGGTTTCACCCGCTGCTCGGCTCCATTTGATCGTAACGTGATGCCTATAGCACTCAGGAACATTGTAGCCATGTATCAGTGAAATAATTTTGGCAATCCGACCAGCAGTCCCAAATATTACCCCCTACATACAAACTTCCAAATGTTACGTCTTTATAATATTAGTATAGATATACGACTACTTTCATAGAATTAATTGGGTGACTGAAATATAATTTAAAATATTTTTTTTGGAAAATGATTTTCTAAGAAGTATTTTAAAGAAAATTAGTGCGTTTTTTTTTTCATGTGATGGGTCGACAAACGGGCAAACAGATTACCTGATAGTAAGCAATAAGCGCCGCCCATGGACATCCGCAACAGCAGAGGAAGGTTGTGGTTAAGGAATTAGGATATTTAGGGATTGGGGGAGGGGAGGGATCGGGCCTCTGGTAACTCAAACGGTGAAACATAACGCTATAGCTGTTTTACGCTGTGAGGCCATGGTCGAGCCGACCCATCCGTGCCGAAGCATGGCTCTCCCTCTCTCTCGCATTTTCCGGAAATGTGTCTGCAAAAACGGTCCCAGCAAAAGAGTATCTATTGAAGACTTGAGGGTTTGCAATTTACGCAAAATTAAATAGAATTTGTTAGAGCCACAGAACAAAACATTACCATCCAAGTGATTGTTTAACTCGCCTCTGAACATGTTTAGAAATAATAAATCTTTAGGTAAATAATAATTGCGCAAACTGAGAGATCAAGAGGCCAAATAGATTTGCGCCATAGTCCATACCTACATGTGTTATACAGTGTCACTAATTGGTTGTTTGTGTAACCTAATGTTTCCATCCACATTGTTAGCAGAGTATATTTTTTTTAAACTTTATCGTGCCTTTACCGCACTAGAATTTTCTTCTCTATCGTGGTTGCGTTTACAATATACAATGATTATAAATAAACAATTGCACATACACATCACCAGACCCAAAACAACGATGTGTGGATCACACGAAGACTTCTTCCGTGCGGGAATCGCACATCATCGGAATAGT